TGCCTCAGTTGAGTGTCTGACTCTTGATTTTGGCTCAGGTTCTGACCCCAGAGTTAGGGGATCAGGCCCTGCATCCTGGTCTGAGAATGAAGCCTGCTTAAGATTCTCTTTCTCTGCCCTACTCTGCCACTCCCACACTCATTCTCTCTCTCTAAAAGAAACAAGAAAGTGAAAAGATACTAAGCATTAATGATCATTAGGAAATAGAAAATTAAAACACCAGCGAGATAACACTATATATGCTAGTGTTAGATTAGTTTGTTTAGATTGGCTAAAACAAAAAGCGCCAATGTCAGTTTCTGGTCGGTGTTGAACAACAGCAGGGCTCTTTTGGTGTTGAGTGGCAGAATGGTACAGCCACTTTTGAAGATAGTATGGTAGTATCTAACAAAGCTAAATGTAGTATTAAAATACAACCCAACAGTCATTTTATAAATATATGCCCAATGGTTTTAAAAACTATCTCTAGACAAAAATATACACATGAATGTTTGTAACCGTTTTTTTTTTAATAATCACCCAAAACCGGAAGCAACCAAATATCTGTCAGTAGGTAAATGCATAAACTAATTGTGGTAAATTAATAAAATAAAATATTAACAATAAAAATGAGTTATTACATGATGAACATTTTTAGATGGATAATAGGATAAAATAAGCGACTCTGTAGAGGCTTGATACTGAATGATTCCATTGTTTGCCATTTTGGAAATACAAAATCAATAGAGACAGGAAAAATCTCAGTGATTACCAGTGGGTCAGGAAGGGAAGACAAGGGTTGAATAGGTGAAGTGGAGGGAGAGGGATTTTTAGAATGATGAAGATATTCTATTTGCTACTATACTTTTGGATATAAGACCTTATTCATTTAAAACTGTTGAACTTTGCAGCACAAAGGGTAAACCTTATTTAATGCACATTTTATAAAGGGGTGCATGGGTGACTCAGTCAATTGAGCGTCTGACTTCAGCTCAGGTGGGTTTGAGCCCCGTGTCAGGTTGCCTGTTTCAGATTCTGTGTCTCCCTCTCTCTCTGACCCTCCCCTGTTCATGCTGTCTGCCTCTCTCTCTCTTTCTCAGAAATAAACAAAAAGAAAACATTAAAAAATTTAAAAAAATTATTTATGAGCTTATGAGAATCACAGAATGGAGTGCATAATAGGAAAACAGTCTAACTGTGCTATAAATGTATGAAACAACCTGGGGGATGAGGTGTTGATTTTAAAACTTTGGAAACAAATTGAGGCTGAAATGCAAGAAAATGAACATAGGCTATACTCTACTGATATTTTTTCTTATGAGAGTGTCAATAATTCTGATACTTCTACATGTGCACAGTGAAATTGAACTATAACAACTATAACAAATGATGGCACATAAAAGACCAGTTTCCTAACTGTTGAAGTAGAAATTTGCAGATAAACGTATTAAGCAAGCTAGAACGATGCATGTGGCAATGGATTAGAATCCAAGATCACACTAAATTTGTAGTTAGATTAATATCTATCTACTGACAGTTATATTTGTCGATGTATATGGCTTAGTACACCTGCATGTATTTCCTTATTCTGTCAACTGAAAATAACTTAAAAGTGACACCTGAGTAGCACCTAGCATACTTAGCACCCAAATCTTGGTTTCTAATACCATTATCCAGTGAAATGAGTTGGGGATCCTTGGAGAAATGTCTGATTCTAAGAGAGAAGCAGGGAATATAAGAGGAGACTGCAGCATTGTACAGTAAAGAAAGGAAGGATGTGCTAAAAAAAAACAAAGAAAGGAAAAAAAACAGTGAGGAGGTAGGTCAGTGGAATATAGGAAACAACTGAATGAAACTCCCAATGGTCAAAACAGGAATAATCTAACAAAAAAATAAATAAACTAGTACTGATTTGTAACCAAAAGTATCAAATACATATCTGTGAGTCCATGCTGATGTAAAGAAATGAATGAATGAATAAATAAAGAGGTGAGACCTTAAGAATTCGAAAGAATATATGTAGGTACTTTACCCATGAGGAAGTGGAGTATCGCTCACCACTTGTTACATGTGGACTGTGCATAGCAACTTCAAAAGAAGACCATATGGAAAAGGGTTGGAGATAGAGTAACTTTACAGTAGATAAATCTGATAATCACTACCTCAGTTAGGTAATCATTAATATAAACAATGATGTAACATTATTATTTATTCCTAATATGTGTCGTTTCCTTCCTTGAATCCCATAACCTCATGTTGGTAATGAAGAACATATCAGAAAACTCTCAATAGAAACACATTGTACAAAATATCTGATCAGTAGCCCTCAGTACTTAACAGTCTTCAACAACAAGGAAAGTCACAGAAACTGATATAGTCAAGTCTAAAGAGACATGACAACTAGTTGGAATGTGGTACCTTGGCTAGGATTCTGGAAGAGAAAAAGGACATTAGGGAAAAATACTGCAATCTGAGTAACAATATATAATATCAATGTATTTTAAACTAGTAATTTGCTAAATGCATCAGTCTGTGAGACATTTAGGAGAATGAGTAATTAAGAAGATAGTTGTTGATGGGATTAATTAATGTTCAGAAGAAAGATAATAAAAATGGCAAGTGACTAATCATCAATTAAAAGCTTAGACTAAACGCCAGTGGACCTTCTTGGGGTCCTATAAAGAGAACACAGCATCTCTGTAGCTTGAGATCAAGAAAGGTTGAGAGTCAGGTCCAGAACTAACAATAAATGTAAAAGAGTTTCAAGAAACTTTATATGCTCAATCTGGACAGGTTTGCAGTGGTCAGGAAAGCACTCTCATTAGGGAAGAAAGGACTGCTGTGCATGAGATACGGATGTGTGGGTGTATACACCTGAAAGTCTTTTTAAAAATTTTTTTTAATGTTTACTTATTTTTGAGAGAGAGAGCAGAGCAGGAGCAGGGGAGGGGCAGAGAGAGGAGACACAGAATTGGAAGCAGGCTTCAGGCTCTGTGCTGGAGAGCCCTATGCGGGGCTTGAACCCACAAACTGTGAGATCATGACCTGAGCTGAAGACAGGCTTAACTGACTAAGCCACCCAGGTACCCCCTGAAAGTCTTTCATATCCATATCACCTTAAATCTCTGAGGAAGCAGAAGTGGCCTACTCCTCCTTGGTAAGCCTAGTGCTTTTCCTAGCTTGAAGATGATAGAGGAGTTTGTGGCAACAGGCAGCATTAATCTTTCATGATCTGTTTCCATCTCTTCTCGTGGACTGATGGACCAGTAATTTGGTCTATCCTCCATGCAGTCTTCTCTCAAGAAATTTATGAGCATATATGGACGTCAAGATAAATAAGAATCTAAGGACCATGTATTGAGCCAGGCAGCACTGTTTATGTAGATTTATCTATTTATCACGTGAAGAGTAACCAGGATTGTCGCAGTGGAGTAGAGAATGTGAGCTCAGTCATGCTCTAATCTACCCTTCTAAGTGTTAATGGGTCTTTTGAGCTGAGGTGTTCATGTTCACTTACTTAGTCCTCTATTCCACCTTTTCCTCATGCAAAAGGACTGGTATATCAGAAATTCTACTCAGGAATTGTGAGACCACTGCTATAAAGGTATCATCCATGCTGTATTGACCAAACCTGATGCTGCTTGAAATGTTTTGTCATGAGCTTATTTTAAGTCTCAGCCCTTTAGCTGATACTTGATCAAATGGACATTGCAGTGCTTCAATCCAGAAATGATTGAGAAAATAATTTTTTAGCATTTTGTGTGATTTTTTTTTTTTTGATAACTTGATTAAGGTTAGGAATTCTTTCCATCAAAAAATTTCAAATGCACACATGCATGTGAAATGTGTGCCAGTTCAAGGTTACAAATGAACATCAAGTAAAAATTATTGACTTAGGGTGACTAAGCTTTAAATGTAGTTAATATCTCAAATTCATATATGAACTTTTGAAAGCTTATTCATAGAATATCAGAGATATACCAGAATAGATATATTGGGGCACATGCTGATATTCTTTTATTTTGAGGAAGTGTTTGAGCTGTGCATTTTGTTCCTGAGATATTAAAAAGGTGATAATGTCACTGTACTACTGCCAGAAAAGAGGATTTACTTAATTGGACAATAAGATAATATGATTAGTATAATTTTCCAGAAAGGCAAGAGTTTTCCATTTAAGGTTCATTTCCCACACCAAACTTACACATTTGAATGAGGGCTAATAAAGAAGAGAATAAAAATGAAATATGATGAAAATTTGTAGCAGTCTGTTAAAAAGAAAGGCATTTGTCATACTGAATTACCAGTTGCTTGATTTTATTATTTTAAGACCCCCAAAGCATTATAGTTCACCAGCTTGTGCCTTGACAATATACTCACTGCAGTAAATTTTTCATTGTAAAGGCATTTTATAAAGAACTTGACCCATATCATTATATGATGTCTTTTCTTAATAATTTAACAAACATTGACTTCCTGGTGTGAAGTGAGCCAATTAAAGTCATTTTAAAAATGCATAAGTTTCTCTAGGTTGCTTTCAATTTTAAATAAGAGCAGTATATAATATCCTGCAGCTTAGTTTTTCTATTTGAAAATACAGCTAATCTCTCCACAGTTACTGTTCTCTATCACATATCTCAATTGTATTATCATTTCAAGTCTTCTATGATCTTGCTTTCTAAGTTGGTTTACTAAAAAGATAAGTCATTCTGAAGAATTCCATCTTCCAGTCAACTTGAAAAGCTCTGATCAAATTTACTTGTGGCTTTTATTCTTTCTTCCTTTCTATTATATAAATGGGGGAACATAAACAACATTAGAAGAAATATTCATCTTTAACTTAGTGGGTATAATGTGAAAGAATATTCCAGCTTCAGGAGATTTCAGAGATTGACATCGGACTTGGGAATAAAAGTATCCAAAAAAACTGGGAAAAAATACATCTGAAAGGAAGAGTCAGTTGATAAGTGTGGCCTAGTACTCAAACTCTGCTCCTAGAAGGGACATTCAAATTTTTACTAGGGGTGCTTGTTTTGCAGTCCATATACCAAAGTTGGAATGATACAGAGAAGGTTAGCATGGCCAGTGTGTAAAGATAATATATAAATTCATGATGTGTTCCATATTAAGTTTTTTTGTTTTGTTTTATAAGGACAATGAAAATCTGAAGGGCACCTAACCTTTGAGACCTGCCTAAATCCTGGGAACCTTAAAAGCTGATGTGTTAAATCTCAAAAGCTCAGGCGTCTAATTGTATCCTTTCTTCCACTGAAAATCTATTAGTAGAGAAAGAATGATGAGTATCAGCATACCTAATTCTCCGTAGGTATTTTTCTGGTTCTGCTTCCTTCCTGGAGCTGAATGGGAAGAAAAAAAAAAGGTGGGGGGCTCAGTCACATGGTCTAGCCAAAATGTGGTTAAGTTTAGGCAGTAAGTTTTTGGATTTGAATAATGAAAACTTCAGAATCAAGGTAAGACCCTGTTGTCTTTTTTATATCAGCTTCTGCAATGTTTGAAAAAAGCAAGTACAGTATTTTGCTAAAATTAGAAGCTCCTGTGATTCATTTCCAATGACATAGGAAAGAGCAATTCAGCAGAACCATCCAGACTGGAAAAGAGTCCCTGATGAGCAGGGAACAGAGGCAAGCTTTGCCCTTAAATGCATGCTTCCTGTTACTGTGTAAATTGGGTCACCTAATAACATCTAACACTGATTCGCCTCTTGTTTAACTTTCAGTGAACCTGTGTCTGTGTCTTGAGAAGCAGCTGGGATTTATTTGTAAATATAGGAAATGTAGTTTTACCCTGTTGGCTGTAGGAACTTCTGCTATGCTACTTCTTGATAGAAATTAAAACACTGATAGGAAAAGACAGAACTATTTCTCTCCCTTCACTATAGAGCACAGCAGAGCCACAGGAATGCAGAGACTTCAGGGAGCCTTTGCCAGAAACTAAGTACAGGCAGCGGTGTAGCAGAAGAGATGCTTGGCAGAGGGACCTGGATGAGCCCGTAGTGCCTAAGGAAGTAGCATTATTGAGCCTAAATAGTGAGACTTCTATGGATGAAGTGAATTGAGAAACAGTAATAATATCTTGCAGAAGTATCTGTGTCTTTCATGAACTGCAGCATCTAGTGAAAGTAACACAGGTGTCCAGCAGTAGAGATGGTAGTAATCAGAGAGTGTGGTGGTATGCTACAATCTGAAAAGCAGAGGTCAACTGAAGCAGAAATTAGGGTGGGGAGAATATATATCACTACCACCACCAATAATAGTAAAGATTCAGTATTAAAATTAGAGAGAATATGTTAAGGTTTTGGTGGCACGGGCTCCATAGTGTGCTACTTCTGACTGCTTCCCCAAAGTACAGTTCCCTTTCTCAGTTGCATCTTTCTTAAGTAAAATGAATGCAATGGTACTGTTATTGTTATTATTATCTTAAGAAGGATTCTCTTTATAGTCTGTATATATGCTATGTATGAAGACTTGTGTCTCCTCCAAATTCATATGCTGAAATTTTTAACTCCCAAAGATGCTGGTATTAAGAGATGGGGCTTTTTGGAGCTACTTAAGTCATGGGGGTGGAATCCTCATTAATGAATTGGTGCCTTTATAAAAGAGACTCCAGTGGAATCTAGTGCCCTTCCACCGTGTGAAGACATGGCAAGAAGATATTCTCTAAGAACCAGAAAGTGGGACCTCACTAGGCACTGCATCTGCTGATGCCCTCATGCTGGACTCCTGGGATCCAGAACTATGAGAAATAATATTCTGTTATTTGTAAGCCATACAGTTGATGATGTTTTGTTATAGCAGCCCATATAGACTAAGGCACATGAAGGCAAGCCCACCACCTTCCTGAGGGCAGCCTGCACCCCACTCAGTGCAGAAAAAGAAAGGCCAGACTCTGACTCTAGTCCAGAACAACTCTGAACACACAGCTCAGGACCATGTGACTCAGCCGGATTGGATGGTTCCCCCAAAGGGTTTGGCAACAAATTTCTACGTGTCTCACTAAAAATTAGCCATTTCCTGTTCTCTAAAGGAAGAAGTTATATTTTCTTCCTGATTGACCAGGGGACATTGTTTATAATTTACAAAAACATGATGGGTTATGTGAAAAAGAAGCAAACGTAAGTGTCAACCTTTAATTTTAAGCTTTTGAGAATACTACACTAGGTGCTATAACTCAGTTGTAACTTTAACTTAACATCTACATCATAGGAAGCACTATGTTTCTGTACATGTTAAGCAAAAACTACCAATGATCATAAGATACATTAGTATATTAGTATCCATATTTCATAATTGAAAAAACATTCAAAACCTTTAACTTGAATGCAGAAAAAATATATATGATAATTTGGTACTAAATATATATATTTATAAAATTGAGACAGTTATGAGGAGTATATATAGAATACAGAAATATATATATATTTCTCATAATTGTCTCAAATTTTCATTTTCCTTTCATTGCAAAAATTTGGCTTAGCTGAGTTTGTACATGACTCTGTCTTTTTATTAACTCACCATTCATTTGGACTTAGCTAAGCCATGTTAGCTGTCAGTGATGAGCTGACATGTGAATTACTCATTAGGATGAGTGGGGAAGCATTCCACTCCTAAAACAGTGTTGTTGTTACCTAATACAGGATTTCATGGCAGCTGTCCACCTCCACAGGTATTTGTGCAATCTGGCTATAGACAGTTTTATTAAAGAGCTTTCTCAAAAATAAAACTAGCTCATTTCTTTATATTTAAAATTTTTCTTTATAATTACTGTATTGAGGAAAAATGTCCTGCAACTGTATGACTTTGCAGGACTCCCCTCTGAAATGATGGGGTGGCAATAGTTTGCTTTAATCTTCTAGTGTAAGACTGGTTACGACCTTTGATGGTACATGTGAGGGTGTCTTGTGAGACCAGCAGTATGTGATATGTAATATGAGCACATTTACTCATTTTCCTTGTCAGCTATTATAATTGAATAGTTTTGTTCATATCTCTTTCATTTTTTCCTCCTTGAAATACACACGTACACATTTAATTTAATTTTAAATTTAGATGCCGGAATGCCTTTTCCAAGGGTCAGTAAGCAATGTCCTTAATATAATTCTTTACTTCAGCCAGTCAGAAAGAAGGCCACCATCAAAATATCTCATTTAAAAGTCTGTCACTTTAAAACGTACTCTGGACCTGATTTTTTTTATCCTGTCTTTCGTAAATTGCTGTCTTTTTTAGTGTAGAGTTGCTTGACATTAATACTAGTAGTATTTTGGGCCAGATAATTATTTGTGGTGAAGGACTGCCTTGCACATTGTAGACTACTTAGCAGCAATCCTGGCCTCCACCCTATACATGCCAGTAGTACTTGCTCCCCCTCAGAGTTACGGCAACCAAAAATATCTTTAGATTATTTGCAAGTGGCCTCTGTTTGGGCATCCACCACCGCTCTCCAGTTGAGACCCGGAGTCTCAGCGATCTGGATTATGAAACATATATCCGCATATCTAACTCAATATAGATGCGTTTTTTTGTGCCTGTGGGTCTTCTTTAATTTGTGTTTTCTCTTCAATGAAAAAACTAGCATTTTAATTTATATTGAATATAATTTATTACATATTATGAATGCTGTTGTAATTATATTATTTCCTAAGGAATCCTATCATTACATGTTTTTCATTCTAAAACATTCAGTGCAGTATTGGATTCTAATTCAAATATGCCTTTGAAAAGAAATTATGGAAAAATACATTGTCTGATTTATGCAATGAAACAAATAAAACAGATACTATGCTAGTCCTTATCTATAAAGCAAAAACAACTGTGGCTAGTGATCTAACTAGGATTATTTAACGAGTAACTTTAAATATTACCATAAGGAAAATACAGTGTGAAATGTGACTAAATGTTACATTACAAATGGGTAATGTTTACTGCAACAAATTTAAGTAGGCCAAAAAACTGTTCCCAGAGAGTTGCTGCATGACCTGCAGATTAGTAGGTGATGAGAAGCTGACAGTCAGAAGGTGTGAGTCTTTGAGTCTGTAAAGTCAATACCCGAAGAGGATGGTATTGAAGCTAACCTATTGTTAAGGAGTGTGTGCTGGAAAGTTTGCCAAGCACTTAGGCATTAGATCTAATCTTTGTGCTTTCCAGTTAATCTTTCTAATTAGATTTAATCATCAAAAACTCTTTGGAGTAATTTTTAGTATTGTCATTTTTGACATGCAGATAGTATGATACCCGTAGGTAAATAACTTGCTGGTGGTCATACAGATTCAGTTACTTAGTTAGGTGTGAAGCCTAGATCTAATAGCCTCTTGATTCAGGGTCCTTAAACATTACACTATATTAATCTCTATATTATATCACTTGATAGAAGTGATGCATAATACTTGGAACAAAGAAGGGGTTGCAAAGAGGGCCCTAGAGCCTGTGGGAGAAGGAGAGGATTCAACATAACCTTCCAGGGTAATCGGGGACCAGATCCTGAAGAGCCATGTTAAGATATTGGACATAATCTTAAAGGCAGTGGACAACTAAAAACAAGTTTTAATAGCTCATGTCATGAGATCAGCATTTTCAAAGGCCCTTTTTTCCCAAAGAAAGGAGCACTGATTGGAGGAGTGGGAAGTGAAGCCAAGGCAGAGATCAAGGTGAGAGATGAATGTGAGGTACCTGGATGATGAGGTGGATTTGGAGTTCCTGGTACATGCACAATATAGTTGGGGTATTGAGTTGGAAGGTATTACAGATTGGCATTCTCAGGAAGCTGACTCTGAAATGGCGAGGAGCTTACAGGAACATGAATAGGGAGAGTTCTCTTGAGAATAAGTAACACCTGAAGGGGGAGGAGACTGAAGTAGAATTGATCAGAGGGTAAATTTGGACTGCAGTGCAGCACTGAAACATGATTTAGCGTCAGCTGAGCTGAATGTTCAGAGTTGTTCTGGACTGGAGTCAGAGTGCCTGGCCTTTCTATTTCTGTATCGAATGGGGTGCAGGATGCCCCCAGGAAGGTGGTGGGCTTGGAGAGATGCCTTCATCTGAGAGCAATCCCTGAACAGAGCTGACAGCTGGTGACTGTCAACTTGTAGCTTTTCTAGATTCTAAATCCTTCAATAC